TAAATATTTAATGAAATATCTGCAGAATCTAGTCAACTGCAACAGGACTCTTACATAATTACCTATAAATATAATAAAGTTTAAGTCACAAGATCAAAATGAATTATTCTTAGAAAAACTGCACATCATCAAAAACGCTTTCAAAAATTTTTACAGCAAAATGCAATTATTTAAATGTGGGAATTGGGTGCGCTTTAATGCGTGTAATATGATAAGTGGGTAAGCCTCGGAAACTTCCAGTGTGGTAAAAAGTGAATAAAGCAAAAAGAACACACCCACACACACAAAACACAAAGCAGGAAATGATAAGGACGGTTGGTGGAATTCAGAGAAGGCTCCAGGAGGCAGCTAGCTCCGTGCAGAGTCCTTCCTGGGGAAGTCGGAACCAGGTCCTATGTCTGTGTCCTTTGTCCTATAGAGTGCATCTGGTCCCCCACCCCCGCCAGCCTGCTGGGGTAAGCTGCCTCTTGTCCAGGTGTCTTGTGACTTGGCTCCATGAAGAGGTCTGCCCTTCATGCGGTCTGCACATGGAGTACAAGTGAACTCTACAAAATACGGGAATGATATTCCTCTTCTGAATCTTTAAGTGTGTTCCGAGAGGACCAAAGACTCCATCTGTAATCTATCTCAGCTTTGTCAGCTGCTGGGCATTTCCCCATGCACTGTTCCGTGCCTAGATCATCCATCCACACACAGACAGCCCTGTTAGCCATCAACTCCGTGGTTTCTCACAATCTGAAAACAAACTCAGTGGATCATCAGAAGGAGAGGGCAGGAAACTCATCAGAATTAAATATCACAAAGATGTTAGTCTTAATGAGAAATCAATCATAAAGAGAATGTCCCCAAATGTCTGTCTAGTCCTGGTGACTCTCCCAACACCTGGGCCCGATGTTTTTTTTGTTTTGTTTTTTTTTAAAGATTTTATTTATTTATACATGAGAGACAGAGGGAGAGACAGAGGGAGAGAGAGAGAGAGAAGCAGAGGGAGAAGCAGGCTCCCAAGGAGCAGGGAGCCCAATGCGGGACTCGATCCCAGGACCCTGGGATCACGACCTGAGCCGAAGGCAGACGCTTAACCATCTGAGCCACCCAGGCGCCCCCGATGTTTTTAACAGCCTGCTGGAAATCTCTACCTGGGTGGAAGGCAAATTGCAAAGCGGTAAGTCTCATATCTCTTTTCTTCCCATTTCCACTTCATCCCACCACCCAAACTCACCCTCTCCCCAACTTCCCTTTGTCTGTTTATGAAACCAGCCTTGACACCCCTGATTCCTTCCTCTCCAATGGCTCAAATATCCCTTCCCTCTCTACCTCTCTCATCCAGCCAGCCAGGCTCCTCAGAGTCCAGTCTTACTCCATGGAGTTCTATCCCAGAATCTGCTGCCATTTGGAGGAGGAAAACACAGGATTTTGAACCAGGGAGACCTGGCTTTGAATCCATCTGTGCCATTACTAGGTGTTTAACCTTTGACCAATTCCTTAATGTCATCTTTAAAAAAGGGTATGAATGGATACTTCAAAGACTCATTCAGTGGATATGTAGCAGGATGATGTGCGTGGCCGGGGGTGGGGGGGAAGAGGCATTATGAAATATAATAGATTGAAACTTGTTTCTTAGTCTACAAGTTCATTGCAAGTGAGAGAGACCTTTCCCCTCTTTCTCCATAGTAATTTTTGCTGGCAGTTTAGGCTGCTTTGCCCCCAAAAGAGAAAGTTCACAGACCATTGTTTTGCACAGTCTAGGTCATAAGTCCAAACCACTCAGGGTGGTTCCAGCCCGTGAACCTGTTTTGTTTTAAACTGTTTTGTTCCATCTGCACAGGGCTGATATGAAGCATTTTTTTTATTTGAATGAATTCCAACATTTACAAATCAAGAGCTATCCAACACCATTAGCCGGTAGGGAAACGCAAAAACCAAAATCATGAGACACCACTTCCCACCCACCAGAATGACTAGAATCAAAAAGATAGACAATAACAAATGTTGGTGAGGACACAGAGACATGGGAACCCTCAGTCATTTCTGAGGGGAATATTAAATCGTGCAGCCGCTCTGAGAAATCATCTGCCCCTTTCTTAAAAATACTAAATACCGGGGGTGCCTGAGTGGCTCAGCCATTTAAGCGTCAGACTCATGATTTCGGCTTAGATCTTTTTTTTTTTTTAAAGATTTTATTTATTTATTTGATAGGGAGAGAGGGAACACAAGCAGGGGGAGTGGGGGAGGGAGAAGCAAGCTTCCTGTGGAGCAGGGAGCCTGATGCAGGGCTTGATCCCAGGACTCTGGGATCATGACCTGAGCCTAAGGCAGACGCTTAACGACTGAGCCACCCAGGCACCCCTCAGCTTAGATCTTGATCTCAGGGTTGTGAGTCCAAGCCCCCAGTTGGGCCCTGCACTGGGCATGGAACCTACTTAGGAAAAAAAAAAGAAACACAACAATGTGGGTGAACCTCAAAATCATTACCTTCAGACACAGAGACCACATTTTGTATGATCCCACTTATATGAAATATCTGTAAAAGGCAAACTATGGAGACAGAAAGCAGAAGAGTAGTTCCCCGGGGCGAGGGCCAGGGTGGGGAGAGGAAAGACAGCACAGGGATTAGCAGGAAATAGACATGAGAGATCCTACTGGGCTGATGAAAATGTTCTAAAATTGATTCGCCGTGATGGTTGCCCAACTTGGTAAACTTAACTAAAAAAGAAATCACTGAATTTTATACTGTGAATGACATGATTTACAAAATACACCTTATTAAAGTGCTTTTTAAAAAACAGGAAAGAGGGGCGCCTGGGTGACTTGGTCGTTAAGCCTCTGCCTTCGGCTCAGGTCTGATCCCAGGGTCCTGGGATCGAGCCCTGCATCGGGCTCCCTGCTCCGCGGGAAGCCTGCTTCTCCCTCTCCCACTCTCCCTGCTTGTGTTCCCTCTCTCGCTGTGTCTCTCTCTGTCAAATAAATAAATAAAATCTTAAAAAAAATAAAAATAAACATAGGAAAGAAAGAGCTATCACATGAAAATCCAGATTGCTGGTTTCCCTCGAAAAATCGGAAGATCTGGAAATTCGACGACAGTTTGGGGGTGCCTGAGCTGCCGCCCATTCTTAGACAAAGCACGTGTCCCCAGTGTACCACAGCTGCCACTGACCCCCTGTGGTCTCTCAGAGCCGACCTGCTTTATTCAGTGATGTTCTTTGCCTGGTCTTTTTAGGCCTGGTCTTATTTGAGGTTTTCAGTCCTTGTTATGCCTGCTGAGGAATTTCAAGCCAGATCACCCCAGAGAGATAGAAGGGTGGTATTTTTGAGTTGAAGAGCTTTTTCCCTGGGGCGCTGGCTGGCTCAGTTGGTGGAACAATCGACTCGATCTCAGGGTCCTGAGTTCAAGCCCCACATTGGGCGTGGAGCCTACAAAAAAAAAAGAACTGTTTCCCTGACGGTGGTGAAAGGAGTCAGAGGTTTAGAGTGTCCATGAGAAGTACAGAGAGGGGTCCCCTTTCAACATGATTCCTGGGCATGGGAGTATCTTGGGTCCCAGACTATTATAGTGACCACCTCACAGCCCTCCTGGGGCAATAATGCCTGACTGAACTGAAGGATCAGTGCTCACCTGTGGACATCTTCAATCAACAGGAGTAATGGGAAAAACAGAGACTCCAGTGAGCTGAGAAAGAAAAAACCTTCTAGAATTTTCTTGGGCCCCTTAAACTCTAGAGTTCTGGGGGTGGGGGGGCAAACGAGCCTGAAATTTCCTAATGTAAGACTTCTTTCCAACCATGCAGGATAAGGTTAAGTCAGATTTAATGTGATTTAGAAAAATGAAAGCATGAGAATCCCTGAATCCTAATGTCTTAGAGCAAGTCATACCTGTGGCAGATACTTTTTTTTTTTGGCAAATGCTCATTGAGCGTCTTTTGTGTCTAGGGATGGTGCCAGGTGTCAAGGAAATGCCTATGTCAACATAGGCATGATCCCTACCCCTAAGGTGCATAGAGTCTATCAGGAAATATAAGCAAATAGGCAGATAATTATAATTATAGATAACTGTATAATTATAGAGCAAGGGTTCTTAATCTGGAGTCCATGGAAACCTAAAGAATTTTAATTCTATTACACCTTTGAATCATACGCAAAATTTATTGTGTGTGTTTCTTTTTTTCTGGGGAGAAGATTTACAGGTCTTTGCAGATTCTCAAAGAGGCCTCTGATCCAAAAAGGTTGAGGGAATGCAATATAGTACGGTAAGTACTATACTATGGGAAGCACAGCAAAATCCAGGGACCCCTAAGAGGGACACTTAACTCAGAATGGTGGCAGGGGTGGGATGAAGAAAATTCCAGAAAGTCTCCTTAGAGAAATTTTTTATTTTGAAAATAGAAATCTGAATAAGATGTTAACTAGATAAAGAGAGGAGGAGAATTCTTTTAGGGAAAACAGCAGGGAACTAAGGGAGAGTTTTAATTTGAAGAGTAACATGATCCATGACTGGGTTTGTGTTTTGGAAGGATCACTCTGGTTACAATGTGGGAGATGGATTGAAGCAGGGTACAAGGCCGCTGCAGCAAAGAGTCCAGCTGAGGGATGCTGGTGACCTGGTTCCAGCAGGTTGGAAAGATGTGGTCGGGTTGTGGTGATTACTGGTGCAAGGATTAAGTGAGGTATTTTAAATGCCAAGCCAATGCATGAAGATATTACGGTGCCTAGCAGGATGCTTGACACATCATAAATAGATTCCCTTCCTCCTTTGTCTCCTGGCCTCCTGAACTAAAAACACTCCCTCACTGAATCCTGTGCACACATTTTTATAGAAGGATCTATCAAAAACTCCTTACATGTTTTTCTCCATCCCCGTACCCTCCTTTAAGACCAGTGTTGTCCCATCGAAATGGAAGGTGAGCCACCGATGCATACCACATAAGTCAGCTTAAACTTTCTAGGAGCTATATTCCAAAACCAACATGAAATAATTGAAATTAATTTTTTTTAAGTAGGCTCCATGCCCAACATGGGGCTTGAACTCACGACCCTGAAATCAGGAGTCTCATGCTTTACCGACTGAGCCAGCCAGGCACCCCTGGAATTTAATTTTAGTAATGTATTAATCCAATATGGACAGAATATTACATTTCCACATGTAATCAATTAAAAATCTTTAAGAGGATGTTAAAGATTCTTTTCCTTGGGCTAAGTGTTCAAACTCCAATGGGTGTTTTAGACCTACAGCACATTTTATTTCAGACCTGCCACACTTTAAATGCTCAAGAATTGGGGCACCTGGGTGGCTCGGTCAGTTAAGCATCTGCCTTTGGCTCAGGTCATGATTTCGGGGTCCTGGGATCAAGCCCTGCATCAGGCTCCACATTCAGCGGGGAGTCTGCTTCTCCCTCTGCCCCTCCCCCAGCTCATGCTCTCTCTGTCTCTTACTCAAATAAATAAATAAAATCTTTAAAAAAATGCTCAAGTGGGCGCCTGGGTGGCTCAGTTGGTTAAGCGGCTGCCTTCGGCTCACGTCATGATCCCGGAGTCCCTGGATCGAGTCCCGCATCGGGCTCCCTGCTCGGCAGGGAGTCTGCTTCTCCCTCTGACCCTCCCCCCCCATGTGCTTTCTCTCTCTCTCATTCTCTCTCTGTCAAAAATAAATAAATAAAAAATCTTTAAAAAAAAATGCTGAAGTGTTACATGTGGCTGGTGGTTACCACAGAAGACAGCACAGAGCTAGATGGTAAACTCCTTGCAGGCAAGCCCAGTGTGTTCGACTGGTATCCCCAGGAGCTAGCTCAGTGCTTGATACATAGTCAATGCCCAGTAACTGCTTGTTGGGTAGAAAGATGGAAGGATGGATGGATGAGGAGATCCCTTCCAGCTTCCCAGATGTCATTTCAGCTGAGTCGGCAAAGGTGAGCAGGATCTCAGCAGTTAAGGATGGCGGGCTACCAGAGCCATGATGCAAGAGACCAAAGCCATAGGCAAGGAAAAGTGATACCAGGAAACTGTAGGAAGTTAATAATAGCATTTGACTAAAGTATGTGCAGGGCATACTTCTTACCAGAAAAGGTGGGAAGTGATCTTGGAGTTTGCTGAAAGCTGACACCCAACCCTATACATCTGGGGATCCCCAAGCTTCCAGAGTCATTTCCAATCAGTAAATATTTAAGGAACAAATGAATAGAGCAGTGAGATGGAGATGTAGCAGAAAAGGATCACAGGAGAAAGGAAAATGCTAGCCAAGTGGTTAACTATTGCTGGGGTTCCTGTAGGCAAGAAATAAACCATAGGGAAGCTTATTCGAGAATCTAGGTTGTCATCATCACGATGGAAGGAGGAATGGGTCCTTGGAGGCAAACCGTTGGAGAAGCCGGAAGTCCAGTCAATGGTTCGAAGTGGAAACAAGGTTGTTGGTCTCAGTGTCTGCGGGTCCCTAGTAGGTGGGGCCTGGAGGGAACTTGAAGAGTCATGTGTTGGTGCAGAGGGTCCGAGCTTGAAATCAAGCCTGACTCTTGTCGTATGATGCCGCATTATTGCCACCTGGTCCTTGAGGAGCCAGGTTTGCATCCGTCCTGCTCACCAGGTGTAGAGAAAATCAAGAAATTGCCCTGAATTTGATGAAAATGGATATGGTTCTTCAGGCAAAAACAAGCGTGTGGGCATCTCATCAGAGATTGTTTTGAAAATCCAAATCAGTCTATTTTTGAAAGATATATATATATATATATATATTTTTATCAAAGGCATGTTTTGTTTAAAATATCCTGTCTGGGGGCGCCTGAGTGGTATAGTCGGTTCAGCGTCTGATTCTTGGTTTCAGCTCAGGTCTTGATCTCAGTGTCGTGAGATGGAGCCCAGTATGGAGCTCCGAGCTCAGCGTGGAGTCTGCTTGGGATTCTCTCTCCCTCTCCCTCTTCCTCCCCCACTCATGCTCACTCTCTCTCTCTCTTTCTCTTGCTAAAATAATAAATAAATAAGTCTTTTAAAAAAAAAAAAAAATAAGGGTACCTGGGTGGCTCAGTCAGTAAGCATCTGCCTTCGGCTCAGGTCATGATCCCAGGGTCCTGGGATTGAGTCCCACGTCGGGATCCCTGCTCAGTGGGGAGCCTGCTTCTCCCTCGTTCTCTGCCTGCCACTCCTCCTGCTTGTGCTCTCTCTCTGTCAAATAAATAAAATCTTTAAAAAAATAAATAAAATAAAATATCCCATCTGATACAGGGCAAATCCTTAATCTCTCTGAGCCTTAATTTACTTGTGTGCAAAACAAGGATAACAACACCCACTTCATAGGGTTGCAGGAGGATAAACACAACATGGTGGCACTTGTGAGGCTCTCAGCACAAATTAGCAGACGGTAGTATTGCTCCTTATTATTACAATTACATTCATCATCGGTTATCAGCTCCTTTCAGAAGGACTTATACATAGCCTTTCACAGGGAGTTTACAGCATTCTTCCATGATTCTCTATAGACCTATGTTAAAAAAGATACATAATGGGGCGGCCTGGGTGGCTCAGTCGGTTAAGCGTCTCACTCTTGATTTCAGCTCAGGGCATGATCTCAGGGTCATGAGATTGAGCCCCATGTCGGGTTCCTTGATTAGCAGGGAGTCTGCTTAAGATTCTCTCTCCCTCGAGTAAGTCGGAGGGGGAGATGAACCATGAGAGACAATGGACTCTGAGAAACAAACTGAGGGTTCTAGAGGGGAGGGGGGTGGGGGATGGGTTAGCCTGGTGATGGGTATTAAAGAGGGCACGTTCTGCATGGAGCACTGGGTGTTATGCACAAACAATGAATCATGGAACACTGCATCAAAAAAAAAAAACTAATGATGTAATGTATGGTGGTTAACATAACAATAAAAAAATTATTAAAAAAAAAAAAAGAATGAATACATAACCAGCAGAAAAAAACCATCTAAATCTATCAAAGTTCTTACAAAAGGTGAATAAGGAATATAAGATAAACAAACAGGCTAACTGGAAGTAATACACACACACAGAACACAGGCAGCTGCTACATAAAGGCCCACTCTGATAGACCTGCAAACACCTCTACACACTTAAGAGCATTTGCTCTGTATATTTAAGCAAGAGAAATATGCAGGGGTGAAGGGTAACCCCAGTATTCACAATGCACCTTGATGATGCATGGGGCCTTCCACAGCAGGTGGTAGGACACAGTGGGAGAATGTCCGGCCTCAGCAATCAGTTGAGTTGGCTCTACCACTCAAAACTACATGACCTTGGCCAAGTGATACAGCCTCTCAAGGCCTCAGTTTTTCATCTGTAAAATGGTGAAGATGATAGCATGGAACCCACAGGATTGTTCGAAGGATTAAAGTAAACAATGTCTGCAAAGTCTTGGCTGAGCATTGACTACTAGAAAGTCTTCTCAATAGAATCTAGCTTTTCGGGGTGGCGGAGTGGCTCAGTCAGTTAAGCGTCTGCCTTTGGCTTAGGTCATGATCTCAGGGTCCTGGGATCGAGCCTTGCATCAGGGAGCCTGCTTCTCCCTCTGCCTGCGGTTCCCTCCTGCTCCCACACTCTCTCTCAAATAAATAAATAAAAAATAATCTTAAAAAAAGAAAAAGAATCTAGCTATTCTTCAGTGCTCAAACTGGGATCTGAACAAGCATCTGGGCCCAATCATCGATTTACAGAAAATACAGGGGACAGAGCAACATGTTAAACCACACCAGAGGAATGCAGCCAGCAAAACCCAGACTGTGGGAAACACCACGGGACAACCAAGCTGATTTTCTTCAACAAATAAACTGCAAGGAAAAAAAATACTCAACAACAAAAAAATGAGGCTTTGCTCTAGATTAAAAGAGCTTTAGGGGCGCCTGGGTGGCTCAGTCATTAAGCGCATGCCTTCAGCTCAGGTCATGATCCCAGGGTCCTGGGATTGAGCCCCGCATCAGGCTCTCTGCTCAGCGGGAAGCCTGCTTCTCCCTCTCCCACTCCCCCTGCTTGTGTTTCCTCTCTCACTGTGTCTCTCTCTGTCAAATAAATAAATAAAATCTTTAAAAAATAAAAGAGCTTTAAAAGGCATATCAACCAATCAAAACGTAAACCTTTTCTGGATCCCGATTCAAGCAATCAAACAAACTCTAATTAACATATGTATGTACATATATGTATAATATAAAATTTATGAAACAAGTGGAAATTTTAATGTTGCCTGAATATAGGATGATTATGAATTATTACGAATTTTTTTTGTGTGGTGGTGGTATTATGGTCATGTAAAAATAAAGAGTCCTTTTCTTCTAGAGATTTACATGGAAATATTTACAGATGAAAGAATATGGTGTCCAGGATTTACTCTAACATGAGAAAGGTGGGGAGGCACCTGGCTAGATCTTGGGGATGTAAGTTCGAACCCCACGTTGAGTATAGAGATTACTTAAGTGCAAAGGGATAGAAAAGAGGGTATAGCTGAGTTTGTCCGTGAGTTGCTGAGCGGGGTGCCGGGCAGAGGGGGCTCGTGATTACGTGTCTTAGTCCAGTCAGACTGCTATAAAAGAACTCCATATGATGGTTTATAAACAACAGAAATTCATTTCTCACAGTCTGAGGGCTGGAAATCCAAGATCAAGGTGCCAGAAGATTCAGTGTCTGGTGAGGGCTCCTTCCTGGTTTGTAGACACCAGTCTTCTGGCTGTGTCCTCACATGGTTGCAAGGGCAAGGGAGCTCTCCGGGGTCTTTAATAAGGGCACTAGTCCCATCCACGAGGGCTCCACCCTCATGACCGACTCACCTCCCAAAGGCCCAGTTCCTAGCACCATCACATTAGGGGCTATGATTTCAACATATGAATTTACGGGGAGGACATAAACATTCATTCCGTTGCATTACCGGTCTCTCTACTTTTGTGTATATTTGAAATCCTCTATAACAGAATATCTACAATTATTTTTTAAAAGATTTTATTTTTTTTTTAAGTAATCTCGACACCTGGGGGCACCTGGGTGGCTCAGTCGTTAAGCGTCTGCCTTCGGCTCAGGTCATGATCCCAGGGTCCTGGGATCGAGCCGCGCGTCGGGCTCCCTGCTCC